GAGCCAGGCAGCCATGTTGGTGATGATCAGCCCTGTGCTTTCTATTTTTTATGATCATTTTGTTGGTAATAGTATATGGATGTTTTGTAGAGCGCGATCCCCCCACCCTCTCCACCCTTCTGCTCCCTCCACCCCCCCGACTCCGTGCCTTCTTCACCCCACCTTACACCCGCTTTGCATTCAGTGTGGATCTGGTGCGGGTCCTGCGGGCTCAATAGGGCTCTGTCCCCGGATAAAGGTTGCGGCCAGCTCCGGCTGCTGAGCCTGTCGGCCCCGGGAGGAGAGGCAGCAGCAGATGCAAAGGGGGAGGGAGGGCGAGGAGGAGGTTTGTGCAAGAAACCCAAGGGGTGGGCCAAGCAGAGGAGGGGAGAGAGCACAGGCAAAAAGGGGGTGTCTGTGTGTAGGAATTCCTTCTCACATTGGGGTGTCAGTGCTCTCCATAGCAGAGGTGGAGGTGACAGTCAAGGTGCTGGCACACCAGACTTCCTCCTTGCTGTAAGAAGACATGTTTATTTTTTTGGATTCCTGCAAACCTTTAGAACTTTTCCTTCTACTTTTTTTTACGTTCATCCTGCGTGTGGGGTGGGCTAGAACGTGGAGGCGACTCTGTTTATCTCCTTTAACCGCTTCGTGGCCGTGGTGCCACTGTATAAAACTGGCCGTGCCACCTTTTTGAATTAAAAATCACTGGTCGGGGCATCGACCGTGCCATCGTTAAGTCGAATGATTTCATTCGGAAATCCGTGAAAGTTTAGCTACTTCCCAGATGTGCCTGGCGCATGTGCGTTACGATATATACGATGCAAAAATCGCATTCGCAATGGGGATCGTCTGAATGGCGAGGGTAATTGATGCAAATGAGAAAGGATCTATGGCGTTCAGATATATACCCAGGGCTTCTGAGAAGGTCTGTGCCCAGATGGCAGCACTGGAGAGCTCGAGGAGCCCTATGAAAAAGATGCTTTGATTGGCACCTCCAACTTCAACTAGCCATGCGCTGCTCACATTTCAGCCACGTCAGTGTGCGGGCCTGTTGGTACCCCTCCATTTGACAAAAGTAGATTTTTCAAGAAGCCTGTCTGAAAATTCCTGACCGAAGAGTGACTGCAGCCATTCAATTGTTTTGGGTTTTCTGACAATGTCCCTCGTTCTGATAAGAAACAAGAAAGATTTTCCCCGTTGATGCGATCAAGAGCGAACAGCGATTATGCCCCACTAACTATTCGATTAAAATCAAGGTCCTGAAAATGAAAATTCTACTGGTGTATGGCCGGTTTAAGTCCAAATGTAAAATGCCTCTTGTGGACATTAATTAACCTTACAGCCGAGAACTAACTACTTATCTGACCCATCGTAGAGTTACTGTCTAGTTAACGGACATTGTTACACTTGGTCTGGACATCTAAGCTTTAAAAAGCCTCTGGTCACAAAGGGGTTAACTTTGGAGGCGCTGTGGCTAAAGCTGACCAGACACTAATCGGACAAAAACCACTCCATTCCCTGATTCACGCTAAGCAGCATTCATGGGGGAATCTGCACGCCCCCCCAAGCACCAGGCTTTTGTATCCCGACAGCGACTGGTGCGCCGCTGTCAGAATACCCCAACAGCTAATTGGCTACATTCATTGTTCGGGTAGGAATTTGCAGACCAGCTTCTTGAAAAAATCGTCTTTTGTCAAATGGAGGGGTACCAACGGGGCCACACTTAGCTGAAACGTGAGCAGTATATGGCTAGTTGGAGGTGCAAATCTAAGCATCTTTTTCTTAGGGCTCTCTGGGCACAGACCCCTTGGGTATAGATTTGAATGCCATGGATCCTTTCTCATTTGCATCATTTAATCATGCCATTCAGCTGACTTGTTGTCACATTCAGTGTTGGTATTGTCATGATTGCTGTGCTGCACATGTGTGGGACTTTGACATTTGACAGGAAGCATCAGGGCTGATTTACTGAAGGGGCTGACAGTCTTCACACAATAGGGATACATTTGCACATGTGATTAGGATCTCTAGCGGCAAGAATTGGGGATGTTTGGCGGCGGAGCTACTTGAGCGCTGTGCACAATTTGTACAAAAAAAATGGACGCCCCTGTTCGCATTTAACCGCTCATCCGAGCCTCTGGACGCAGACGGTTTGCAACCAGGGACAGCCGTTCTGTCGGCAGCTAACTGGCCATAGCAAAGAGTGCTGCTGCATCCAGAGACGGCGTTTAGGCGCATCTGAACGCAGCAATCTGGCCGCCCGTGTGAAAATTCTCTTTAGTGTCCCCATAATGGAAAAATCGGACTTATTTAGTCTGAATGCGATTGAATAATTGCAGTTAATAGAAACACAATTGATGGTGTGAAGATTCTCAGCTCCTGTAATAAACCAGTCCGGTTGTGTCCTTGCTAAGCCAAGGGTTAAGTAATCATAGGCTGCGATAGGCATGTTTTCATCCTTGTTTACCCTGCACACCCCAGTTCAGCTGAGGATTTCTGCATGTCTGTGTTTTCACCGCCTGTGTATGTGTCAGCCACAGTCGGTCACCTGAAGTTCACAAGGTTGGGGGAAGGGAGGGAGGGGTCAGGTTGTTGCTTCCCATTTGCAGCCATTTGCTCTCTGCAGACAGATCACGATCAATATCCATAACATAAATATATGTATGCATGTCTCTGACACGGTAGGAAGAAGAATAGAGGCGGGTGATGGCTGGAGGGGTTGGCACCGTGCAGAATAGGCATTAATAAGCCCACTCCTAAAGGCTCTGGTGGCTCGTCATCATTGCAGTTCTTGCATATTTTCCTGATCCTTTTTTTTTCTCTCCATTCTCTCGGGTGGTTTTGCGTTCGATGTTCGGAGCTGGACGTTCGCTTAGCTCGCTCCTGCTACAGTTTTCTAAATGTATTTTTCACGATCTGCCTTGCTAAGGGGGTCTGGTCTGAAACCCGGAGAAACGCAGTCTAGTCCAATGAAGCTTTTCAAGTGTTAGCAGCAGCCTTCTTCTATAAATCAGTCTGGGGGTTATCCCGCAGACCAAATTAATCTTTTTTTTCTTTATTCCCTTTTATCTTTCACAAAGAGCAGCATGGAGGCAAGCAGACTCTTTTCATGGCCTTTTAAAATAATTTTAAAAAAAAGCGCAGTCTGCGTCCAGTGTCTGGGAGACGAATAGGGTTTACTATTCACGTGTTACATATTGCTTTTAGTATTATGATCAGCATGTGAAAGATGAGCAAGGAAAATAACCCAGCCAAAAAAAACCTGCCAACTGTCATTTTTTGCAAAGTAGAGAATGGCAGTTGTGCAGAAAAAGCTGGTTGAGTGTGCAAAGGGTTAAGACAAGAGATGGTGCAGCAGTTGTATCCATTGAAAGTCCACTAAATAGTCAATGTTAACTGTGTTGGGCTGTAATTGTTTCTGTGCTGTGAAGTATTGAAGAGCTCTGCAGAAGGCGACCTCTGCTGAACAGTAGATGTATGTTTAAGTGGCAGAACCATGTGACCTTGACCCCGACCTCAGCTACTCCCCTTCAGCTCTGAGTCATTCTCCATTTTAGCTGAGTCACTGTGGGCCTGTACAGTGCCTTTTGTGCTTTCACTGTCTCTCTCTGACAGGCTCATTGTAATCCAGAAAACTCCCAGCTCCTCTCCGTTTCAGCTGGCAAAGTTAGAACATCAAGTCTTTAAAAGTCGTGTGGTCAGAGCCCAGCATCAAGTTTATTCAATAATACCGTCCCACAGTATTTGTGCTGAGGATTGTGCAGAGGTTCACAATACTTTTAAAGGCATATTCCACGTTTTGCTTAAAGGAAACAAATGTGCATTTAATAATTAGTTTGCATTGATGCCAGGCAAGCATCGAAGTTGTAATCAGTGGAATGCACAGGCTCCTGCAGACTATTCCTCCAGACCAGTGTTTCTCCACCTTTTTTTCAGTCACGGTACCCTTTAAAAGTGCAAAATCTCAAGGAACCCCAGTCTAAAATGTCATAGATTATAAAGGGGACACCATTCAAAAATACACAAAGTGGGTTTCCCCCTTCACATCAAAGTGTCCCCTTGAATTCAAGATTCCCCCTTGCACATCTGAGTTCTCCCCTTGCACAATCCGAATCCAATCCTTTCACATCCAAATTCACTCCTTTCATAACAGAAGCCCCACATTCTTATCAGAGTTCCCCCCTTTCACACCTGAGTGCACCACTTTCACATCTGAGTTTCCCCCCCCACTTTCACATCTGGGTTCCCCCTTTCACAACAGAAGCCCCACTTTCTTATCAGAGACCCCCCCTTTCACATCTGTGTCTCCCCCTTTCACATCTGGGTTCCCTCCTTGCACATCCGAAGCCCCACATTCTAATTAGAGTTCCCCTTTTACATCAGGAGCTGAGGTCTGACCAGCAAAACTCCATTTATTCCAATAAATGAAAAATGTGACAGCAGGAGAGCCCAATCATGTGACTTTTCAAAGTCACGTGACTGGCCTCTCCTCCAGTCCCAGAGTGTAGACGTAATGCAGAGAGTACTCAGTAGGACACTGCAGGCTCCATACTGCAGCCTGAGCTTTATTAAAAGCATGTAAAATGCAGGTGCATTGTGGAGTAAATGCTGTGGTATAGGGGTGTCTACACTCTGCTGGATATAGACCCCTTGGTGATTTGCAGATCTAAAAAAAACATACAGCCACTTGAACTTCAGTCTTGCACAGTTGTACGAGCTCCTCTCCTGTACTGAGATTCCTTACTCTGATTTCACTGCACACTGTGAGCTTTGCACACTGTGAGCTTTTCACAGTGTTCATTAGAAGCTGCAGCAAGTCAGAAAAAGCCCACTGCATTTCCTGGCTGGTGGACATTCAGCATCATCTAGCTCTTTCCTTCCCAGCCTGACTGTCTCTGGCCTGCTCCTTTCATT